ATGCCAGAAAATACACCATCCCCATTGACCGCATTGGATTTGAATTTGAGGTAAGAACACGTGGAGGAATTTTGCTTTTCTTGAGCAGCTTGAAAGATGTTCTGGGGCAGCAGGGAATGGAGTTTTCAAAAGAAATCCTATTGCAGGATTCAACATACTCAAAATAAATATTAATATAGTGTATTAATATACTCCAAATGAAAGCAGAACAAAGCAAATGGTTTCTTCGTTCCAGGTGCTGAAACAGGAGGACACGATGGAGAAAGTACCAGAAGATGGGGCTTATGTGAAAGGCCTTTTTTTGGAGGGTGCACGATGGGATCGAGAATCCTCGGTGATTGGAGAATCGCTTCCAAAAATCCTGTATGATCCCTTGCCCATAATATGGCTGAAGCCTGGAGAAAGTTCCAGATTTCTTCATATGAACATCTATTCCTGCCCAGTGTACAAGACAAGCGCAAGAAGAGGCGTCTTATCCACAACTGGCCACTCAACCAACTACGTTCTCTCTGTCGAGCTCCCTTCAGAGCAGCCCCAGAAGCACTGGATAAATCGCGGTGTGGCAGCGCTGTGCCAGCTCGATGACTGAGACAAGTCAGTGCTCCCTTCATTCGTAATTAAAAGATATGCTTTGCTCTCTGGTGGCTGTTTGTTGCTTTTTATTGTAATTTATTACTATTACTTTATTTTTAAATACCGCTATTTACTGCTGGCCTTAATACAGCCCCAAATTTCTTACGTTTCTTTGGCCATTCTGACCTCCTGCACAAAAATGAGTAAGTCATAGAATCACTGAGTCACTGAGGTTGGAAAATATCTCTGAGATCAGTCCAACCATCCACCTACCACCACTGTTTCCCACTAAACCACTTCCTTCAGTTCCACATCTACGCAGTTTTTGAACCCCTCCAAGGACGGTGGCTCCGCATCCCCCCTGGGCAGAGCCCATTCCAGCTCCCTACCCCTCTTTCAGAGGAGAAATGTTTCCTGATACCCAACCTGAATGCCCTGGAACAACTTGAGGCCATTCTTTCACCTTGCTGCTACTATTGGGTCTTTTTGTTTGTTTATCCCAAGATAAAATTGGGCTCAGAGAGTTTTGCTGCTGATTTCAATGAGAATCTAATCCACAGCTTTTGCAAATAGGACTTTCTACACCTTGTGTCCCAGGAGGATGTGGAACAAGGAGTGAGCACATGAGAACTGTCTCTTCTCAACATGTAGAACTGATCTTCCACTAGAATGAACTGCCAGAGCTGTCATAAAACGACAATCACTGATACTCCTTGGATATGTGCGCTAGGATTTCCATGGAAGAATTCTGGAAAGCACATGCAAAAGGAGCCTGCCGTCTCCTGGAGCAGCATGCTTGCCTCGTCATCCGGTAGCTATTAAATTTCTGTATTAATGACATGCTTATCCCAGGTGCCTGATCAGTGGAGCTAAGTTTCCTTTCTCCCACAGTCTATTGTACCTCATGTCAGACTAATAATCATCTATTATTTTGTACTAAAGATGGATTCTTAGAATTTTGATATATGCAGTACAATGGAACAACAGAGATCAAAGCAAACATTAAAAAAAAAAAAACAACAACCCAACAACCAACAAACCACTGCATCCACTGATTTGGGGTCACATCTTTTTTCACGGAATCACAGAATCACAGAATTGTAGGGGTTGGAAGGGACCTCCAGAGCTCATCGAGTCCAACCCCCCTGCCAAAGCAGGTTCCCTACAGCAGGTCGCACAGGTCGGCGTCCAGGCAGGTCTTGAACATCTCCAGAGAAGGAGACTCCACCACCTCCCTGGGCAGCCTGTTCCAGTGCTCCTCACCTCACTGCACAGAAGTTCCTTCGCACATTGGTGCAGAACTTCCTATGCTGCAGTTTCCAGCCGTTTCCCCTTGTCCTGTCTCCACTCACCACTGAAAACAGTCTGGCCTCGCCATTCTGCCCCCCACACCTCAGATATTTATAGACCTGGATCAGGTCCCCTCTCAGTCTTCTTTTCTCCAGGCTGAACAGACCCAGTTCACTCAGCCTTTCTCCATAGGAGAGATGCTCCAGGCCCTTCACCATCTTTGTGGCCCTGCGCTGGACTCTTTCCAAGAGATCCCTGTCTTTCTTGTACTGGGGAGCCCAGAACTGGAGTACTGCAGTGCTCCAGATGAGGTCTTACCAGGGCAGAGCAGAGGGGGAGGATCACCTCCCTCGACCTGCTGGCCACGCTCTTTTTAATGCACCCCGGGATGCCATTGGCCCTCTTGGCCACAAGGGCACACTGCTGGCTCATGGCCGACCTGTCTCCACCAGGACACCCAGGTCCCTCTACACGGAGCTCCTCTCCAGCAGCTCATCCCCCATACCACAAAGGTCATCCCCACCCCTGCCTTTGGCCCCTGCAGCTCATGCAGGACCGGCTGTACACCAACGTGACTGCACAGCTACCACAAGGACAACCTTTCTTGAGAAGAGAATGAGGCTTCAGAAATCTGTAATTAAGGTCAGTTTAATTAAAATTGGTCTTCTAAAACCACAGTCTTTTCTTAGATTTCATGAAATTAACAGGGATGGTTTCTACTTTTAATATGACTAAAATTAGCTGAAATACAGCACATGCTTTAAAAAATAAAAGGTCATTATTATCATTTTGAACAGCTGCATCTGATTACAATTATCAGATCAATAACGGATTACTCATGAGGCCAATGTGACATCAGAGGGGACAGAAGGATATGAATATGAGGGGAGTGAACATGAGGGACATCATCTGAAATGGCGGCATTGTGAAGGCTTGTGGAGGGTTGAAGAAGGGTTTTGATTTGTGCTGAGGAGCTTTAGAAGGCGGACTTAAAAGACGGAGTGAAGATGGTCTAAGCGGTAAGCATCAAGCAGAACATTCAATATCTTGAACTATTCCAGCATTGACATACAGAAGCTTTCTGTGGTACCTGGTGGTGGAAGAATCATTTGCTTGTAAAGAGTGAAATGGAGCCCTTGGCAGTGAGGGCATCAATGCTGCATAGCCCTTCTTGCCTTTGTTTTGAACTTTAAAAAACAAAGGCCTGATCAGTTGGAGCAGGTTTTTCCTGAGGGAAGAATATGGAGTATAATTACAAAATACAGTGCTTGGAGATGAACTGGAGTTGTGTTCTTTTTAATCCACCCTAAAGGACTTACACTTCTATTTCCTGATACTTCTCTCAGCGTTAGACTAGCTTCTTTGTGCTGCATTTTTCTTTTTTCCTCCCCTGGTGGAACTGTAGCTGTCTCCTTGAAGCTTGAAGCATCTTTTCTTGTGGATAAAGCTGGCTCAAAGCAGAAAGGCTGGAAAAGGAGGGTACACTGCAGTGCTTAAATGTGTAGTATGAAGCAGTAGTCCATTGAACATGGGTACACTTAAAACTGTCATTAGGAAAGGATGTTTCATGGCAAAGAAAGGTGTGAGAATAGCAGAGGTTACCAGAGGTCTGACTTAGGGTGCGATGCGTAGCATCCAGGACAACCTTGTTTGGAACCCCATCGTTTTCGGAATAATGGATGTTTGTATATTATATTTTTCTGACTTCAGCTGCTTCTCTACAGCATTGCAGCTATTCACACACTTCTGCCAGTTATGGATGTTAGCAGGTGTTAACCTCTACAACCAAAGTCCCCACTGTAATTCTACTCTACAGGCAAAGCCATTGGTTTAACCAGTTAGTGCATGGTGTGCTTGGAGAGCAGAGCTTTGCTGTAATGCATAAAGCTGCTTTAGATTAGGTCTGATCCAGGGGCAATTGCTGGCAGGCCTTGTAGCCTCAATGGCGAAGTTGATCATCAGAGACTGATGGTTTCCAGCCTTAGTTCTTCCAGACTCTTATCTGCTCAAGTATGACTGAATTTTATGTGTGTGAGTAAATGGGGGAAATCTTCACTCCAGCAACTGACTGGTGGCAAGAGGCACAGTCACCTTCCCTACCTACACCACTGGTGTTCTCTGCTCTTGGAAAGCTGAGTCAAGCATCAGCCATACTTAAAAATGCCATTATTAAATGGTTGGATATTAGGAAGAGTTTATTCTCAGAAAGAGTGTTTAGGCATTGGAACAGACTGCCCAGGGAAGTGGTGTGGTCAGCATCCCTAGTGGCGTTCAAGAAATGTGTAGATGTACTTAAGGACATGGCTTAGTGGGCTGTATTGGTGATAGGTGGATGGCTGGACTAGATGATCTCTGAAGTCTTTTCCAACCTTAATGATTCTGTGAGGGATGTGTAGGTTCTGGGCACAGCCCGACTGACTGCTCAGCGCTCGGCTGGTGCTGGTTGGGCCCATCCCTGAGCAGCAGAACCATCGCTGCTCTGGGAAGAGCTCTGCTCTCCATCTAGACTTGAGCTTACGTGGCTCAGTTAAGAGCACTTTGTGCTCTTAACACCGAAAAAAAAGAACTTAGAACTGGAGGACTGAGTTTCTCCAGGCTGAGAACATATTTAAAGATGTAAATGAAGGTTTTGTAGGGATAAATAAAACATCTAGAAAAGAGGGAATTCTTTAGAGGAGACACTTTGCCATGTTCCCCTTTGTGAGGGTCAGGAGCAGCTGAGTTGCTTTACTTACTGATTACTGACATTGGATGAAGTGTGCAATTACTGGGCTGCCTTTACTGCAGAGGGAAAGCAGTGGAATTTACTGTTAGAGATTCTTCTGCAATTCACAAACAGCCGTTCCTGTGCTGGGGGGCCCAGGCCTGGACGCAGCACTGAAGATGGGGCCTCACAAGAGCCGATGGAGGGGACGATCGCCTCCCTCTCCCTGCAGGCCGCCCCTTGTTTAATGCAGCCTGGAACACAGCAGGCACACGCTGCTGCCTCATGTCCAGCTTCTCTCGTTCATTAAGAATGAACTTTCCAACCTTCTCTGACCTTCCTGAAGAAAGATAAACATGATAAACGTGTTAGACATTGGAGTTCACAATCTTTCTTGCCCGAGATGCATTTAAAAAAACAAACAAAAAGACCATTAGTTGGACTCACTTTAATTCCATTATGAAAATAGGAAAGAAGGTGGACAGCTGAAATTCCATGTAATGGCAGTAGCAGAATATCTAGCTCTGCAGGCTTAGTATTTCTCAATTTGAAACTCTTATTACAAACCAGAAGAGGAAAATATCTGTATTTTTGAAAATCTAAATTCTCAGCCTTACTAATAACTCAAGGCAGATAAGGGAATACTGTATACAGGCATTACAGAACAAAAGCATTCCTTCCTCAAAAACATCAGAGGGAAGTTCAGTGAGGGATGCTGAACAGGCAGGGCCAGAATGTTTTCTCAGGAGACCAAACTTTCTTACACCTTTTCTGTACAAAAAGATGTTTCAGAAGTAGAAAGTACTGCCTCTGATTCTATACTTGTTGGGTTACGAAAAGAGAAAATGATACAATGAGAAGGCAAAAAGGCCCCAGGTTCTTCTGACAAGCTCCTGCAAGCTAGAATATTTGGATAATTAGAAATATTAGTGACAGGTGCAGATCTTGAAGGTCCCTCCTGTAATTCATACTTCGGAACCTGAAAATACAGGATGATCAGATAAGTGGCATTCTGTCTGTGGATAAAAGATGAATATTACTGGTATCAGTTCTGACAGGCAGTGGGGCCATAAACAGGATCTAAGTGTGTTACAGCAGCAAACATGCATCACTAGGATGCATCAGACGACTTATTCCTTCTCACCTGTGACACTTCCCTTGGAACAGATCGTATCACTGCCACAGTGTAAGGAGAGTTTTTTCTCCCCTAGAAATGCAACTTGGGCACATCAGGTAAGCGGGTGCCACGTCTCAGATGCACTGATGTGCTTCGTTGCTAACGTTAGTGCTCAGGCTGGGCTCCTAAGTCCTTGGCTATCTGTAACCTTTCTCTTGGTGGAGTGAGGATTTCCAGGAAGAAGACACTCAGATATTCCAGGCCAGATGTTGTATGCACAAACCACACCTGTGCTGCCGACCTGTTCACCTGCAGTTGTCCAGGCAGCTCAGCTTTTCTTCAGAAATAATATCAAGTGAACCTGACAGTTGTTATTCTAAACTGCTTTCAGACCCTCCAAGTAGAGCGATGCACAGGGAACAGGCAGAATTTACTGGAAGGAGAGTAAGGGAGAGTTGAAGAAGTGCAGGAATCCAGTGCACCACAGACTCTGAGGAACTAGGAGACATTTTAGGACATCTTCTGCAATTAAAATTAATGTGTAGGAACAGTACACATTACAGTATTCACAGTATTTGCATGGCCCTTGGAAGTTACTACAAGTGCTGGCTGAGAAATCTGCCTCCTCTGACCTCCCCAGCACAGCACTTTTGAGGCTGGTTCTCCTTCCCCTCAGAACTAAACTCATACTGTGACTTCCATTTGATGTAAGTAGTCTGCAATTTTGGGGATGGATGCTCACTCAGGAAAGAGTTGTGACTGTAACACAGAAAATTCAGAGTGCTCGTTTACACGACCATTTATTTGCCTGCTGAGTCACACTTTGTTAGCCATACAAATTGTTAAAAAAAGATACGAGCCATAATTTCATGACAAAGAACGTGCCTAAGCTTCCATTCAAAATCCTTCTCTCTCCACCATTTCCAGCCTTGGTGAGTCTATGATTCTGTGATTTTGGTTTGCTCAGCTAATATCTCCCTACACTGATATATCAGAACTAAGGACAGGAGAACAGTGTTTCTGAAGGATGAAGCAGCGTATAATCATATTATTTCTTGCTGTCTCTGACTTCCATCATCTCCCTCTTCCTAAATGAAGGGAGTTCTATTCTGTGTTTTCCTGGCAGTAGGAATTGGCAGAGCCCACACAGACAGGCAGAACAACAGTTCTACATGTTCAGTGCAGGGTTCCTCTTCCATGAGGCATTCCCAGGAAATAATAACCTGGGAACATTTACCTCTGTGGGCTGAGCTATTAAGGGCAGCCAGAAGTTGGGCTGGGCTGTTGCACTGCCTCCAACACTGGGCAGTGCCCATCACAATGTCCAGCTCTCCTTCTTGTTCCCTTGCACTTTCTCACCTGCCTGAAATGATAATTTTTCATTCTTCTAAGTACATTCCCTGCGGGGACCCGTCATTCTGTTCCATATGTCATCAGTTTAAACCTATTTTTAAGGCAGACAAGAATATCGCTGTCATCTTCTTTCTGTTGGGACTTGGAGAGTTCAGGAGGAGTTGGAGAGCTGAGAAAATGAGATTTCATTGAGCTTTGCCTACATTAATGGAAAATAATACAGACTGCATTGGGCAAATGTGCTTTGTTGCCACCACTACCTTCTGGTTGGAGCAGCCGCAGCTCATGCCTCTCGTCCTTCAAGCAGCTGGGGGCTGTGCTCATGATGTCTCCCAGCACAGTGTGGCTCTTGTGGGCTACTTGGCCTTATCACTACTCCCAGTCTGAAGCAGGGAAGGCTTTGCCAACTTGCCTCTGGAGATCTGGGAAGCAGAGGGCTCAAACAGAGCCAAAGTAATCGCGGCCAGGGAAAAAGCTGCCATCTCATTTCCATTCGTGGAACACCAAAATTGGAAAAGACCTGCAGGATTATCCAGTCCAACCATCCACCTATCACCAATAGCTCTCACTAAACCATATCCCTCAACACAACATCCAAATGTTCCTTGAACACCACCAGGGTCAGTGTTCTCTGAACATAGGAGACTGAACAGTTTCTTTTACTGTTAAAGATGTGATTCTGTCTGCAACGTTAGGTTAAAACCTGACGCTGCAGTATCTGCTGAGAAGGCTGAGGTGCTAGTTTTGTTGGCAGGCTCACCACGTGAAAATGCAGAGATTCCACAACTAGCTTAAGCTTCACCAGTGGCGATACCCTGAGGGGAAAGTTTTTCATGAGAACAAGAGGAACCCAACACAGTGTTATGCTTTTTGCTCCGTAGCAAATTCCAAACATGGAATTTCACATCCACCTACTCTCTGAAGGATGGGGAAAGGAGTTGACACTAAGGCTGGGCTATTGCTGAGCAATCTACAAAAAAAGAAATCCCTTTCATCCTTTTGCTACTGTCTCTTTAGAAAATACACTGCATCATAAAGGTACTATGAAACCAGCACGTTTTTCTTTTTGCTGACCCTTGCCCTGAATCATAACTGAGCATATATAATCCTCAAACAACAGAAGAATCCTTCTATGGATTAAGAGGATTTGAAAAACTGTTGTAATTCGTCCTGATGTTGAAGTATCCCACCTCATTCCTTGCCAAGTGCCACTTTTATTGATCAGTCAGTGGCTGAACTGCAGCAAATACCAGCCCAGCCCTGGCCATTGTCTGCATCACATCCGTGGCTTTTTGGAGAGGCCTCAGGCAATGTGGGAGCAAGTGACCAGAACAGCTTCATTCACAGCTGTACACACAAACCACCTGCACTACAATCCCAGTCATCACAGCTGAAATGATGGGTTATGAAATTTCATCGTGGGATTTCAGGTATAATGGCTTAGAAATCTTCCTCAACTTTTCCTGGTGTCGAAACGTACGGCCTTTTTTCTGGGTAAGACCCATGGGAGGCAGATGGATCTGGAAAAGAAAATCCCACCAGTCAGGTGCAAAAGGAGATGTTGCAAAAACAAACAAAACCAGAAACAAAGTAAAAAAAAAAAAAAAAAAAAAAAGCATACACACAGACTATTTCATTGAATTTTCAATAATTCCTTCACTCTTTGGAGAGGGCAACCACGCTGTTTGAAGTCAGGTTATTAGATTTCCAGGCAAAGAACTCTCTGAGGAGCGATCAGTGGTGTGACTCTGAGCCTTAAACATTGCATTTAAGAAAATCCTATCTATTTGAGGTTTTGTTAATTCTGGATTTTGCAATTTGAAATCAGATTGTGACAATAACATTGCTGAAATATGTCTGCAAGCAGTATTCCAAAACAGCAAGACACAGAAAACCTGTGAAGTTCCTGAGCAGAAGTCTGAATGAAGTATGCTTTCCTCATACCTAGCCAGCAAGCTACATCTGTGTCTTGAAATACTGCCTTCTTATTCATCATCATATATACCGTACAAAAATGCACAGCCAGCGTCATGGGCTCCAGAAGCCAAAGGGGCAACAGGTAACTTTTGGCTTCTCCTCTGCCTGACAGTCCTTGTACAGTGGGAGTCACACAGCTCTATGCCCCAGACGACAGAAAAAAGGTCAGTGTCAGCAGTAGATGCTACTGATGCTGGAGCTTGACCCTTTAATACAGTGCTTTAGGTGCAAATAAAGGTACTGATGGCTTAGTTTATATGAGAGCACTGATACAGGACTATCCCTTAAGGGTTTGAAGTGGATGCAAAGCATATGTTCTGATGCTCCTTTCTAGGGTCACAGCTTGTCAGATGCTCGCTCTTATTCTGCATAGTGGAGAAAAAGAGCAAGCTGTATGTGCAACACATGCTAAAAGTGAAGGTATTTTAGGCAGGCATCCAATCAGATGCAAATTAATTTGGACCACAATCACCTTGGTAAGTAAACTCTTGATGTGAAAATCTAAACTAACCAGCAGAAGAACAAAGGCAGTGCCTTTGGGAGGGCAGTGTGGGAGGCAGTGTGTAGTAATGTGGACAGGAGCAGCTGGATGCTGAGGAAACTATATTGCCTGCTGCAACAGATGACGTTGCTGCACCTTCACTAATTTCCCTCATCTTGAGCAGGTTTTTTTCTAAGGACAGGTGAGAAGAAGCAGCAAGGCAGGAAGGTGCTTTCTAAGACCTGATCTATGCCAAGGAGAATAGTTACAGGCAGCACAGGCCATGAAGATGACTAGGTCTATGACACATATAATTAATGTAATTAAATAGTTTTATTCTGTTCTACTCTCTCGTTACATGAAAGATGAACAAATGGATTTAATTCTGTTACCATCTTTCTCTGCAATCCATTGAGCAGTGAATCTGCTCACACAGTGACAATCCCCAGAGCTCTTCTCACACAACAACAGCAGGGTTTGACTCCTAGAGAGGAAACAAGCTGACTTACAGCAGGGTGGGAGAGATGTCTGCATGCACCTGGCTTACCTGGCTCTGATTTAGCAGAGCACCTGAGCACAGGTGGGATGTGTGGCGTGATGACAGTAGTATGGGCTTATTATTTGAGTGTCATGTGGGAGCTAATGAGGTGCACCTGGGGTGAACAGACATACTCACAGGTCTTGGGTAGGGGATGTTGTAGTGAAGTCCAATTTCTATTCTTGCCTCACATTCTTCTATGCACTGCTTAATCAGCTTCGGATCTGCCACCTAAGATAACAGTAAGTTAAAAATTAATATTTTGTAGAAGTACAAAAAATCAGCATTTCAAAACTCAAGCCTTTTTTTCCTCTTCCCTTCCTCTTTGCAGTTCCAAGGATACGATGATAGAGTTTTTCACATCTGTACTTCTGTGCTCAGTGGCACAGAGCAGCAGTACCCAGAGGCTATCAGGACTGTGAGAGTAGAAGAGGGTTTTACTCAAGTTTGGTGTTTTGTCTGTACAAAAGACAACGCGTGCATAAACTACCGCTACCCCATGAAAAGCCCCACTCTTGCATTCAGCACAAGGCAAGGCAGAAAGGGAAAGAGAAGGGTGACACATGGGGGTCATTCTGTCCTGAAACTCACACTGAAGTCAGAAACGTAGTGTTCATCTGCACTTCACCGTGATTTTTATATCAGCTGAATTTAGTCCTGCACTGCCTGCAATGCCTGCTCCAAAAATAAAGCCTCCTATTTCATTTTGTTGCCATGTGACAGATGGTAGCAGAGGGCACGTGACAGAATGCCTCCTAATTATTTTCAAGGAAATGACAACAGCTACAAAGAACAAAGGAACACTACTTGGTAAAGAAAAATCTCTATCACTGTTCACAAGCATTGATGAATGCCAGTGGGTGCCATTTTTCCAGGTGGAGTTCAGTGCCACCACTCCCCTTCATCCACACTTCCATGTCAGACACCATTTTGTCAGACTGCCCCATTCTGTCAGATCCGTCACAGAGCAAATAAAAAGTAATGGAATACTGGTGGGAAGGTTCAACCTCTGCTGCCATCCCACCAACAATCAGTGCTGCCTCCAATAGAAGGCACAGCTTTCAGAACAGTCCTGCTATCAATTGTCTAAGTCCTTCTTTTTTTGTTTTTTTAACCAAACATTGCCAGGTTTCCTCACTAGCTGTACCAGATACATTGACAAAGGTTAAAGAAAATCACTTCAGTGTAGTTTGTACAGCTTCATACAGATCAAGAGATTGAGTTGTGTCTTTTAGTGGCACCAAAGCAGCCATTTCTTCAGTGACATTAGTTATAATACCTCAAATGACAACAACAAGTTGAACCATAGCTGTAGCATCAGCACCTTCATCTATCACCACAAGTTAAAATTTGAAATTAGCAGCTCTGCCCTCCAAATTTCTTTTGATAGATGTTCCTGTTTATTCACTTCACCTGGCTACAGGCTGGTGAGACAAAAAAATGTTAGAAAACTGGTTTTTAATCAGGACAAACCGTATCTGCCATGCTTTCCATCCATTGCTCAATAAACTCACCATCAGTCAGTGGGTGTGATATTTTTGCTATCAGATTTGCTACTGCATAACAAGCTTCAATATTAGAGTCCATCTAAGGTGTAACTTTAGAAAAAAAAATGTTGAGAAGATATTTTTTACAGATCCGCTATTTCTCTTCACAAAACATTCCTTGGTATGCACTGAATTTGCAGCACGTGTTTGCACATAATGACTTTTCAAGCAGTACTCCATCAAATCAGACACAATTTCCTTGCTAATTAAGCAGTGCCGTATTAGCTGTCTTGGCAATAAATACTCCTCTGTCCATTTTTTGTTGAACACTCATCCTTCAACCACAATTTTTCATTTTTTGGGACTCTGTTTCCTTTGCAGATGGCAGGAGGTTGGCTGAGTCCTTCCTGGCAGTGGTTGGATCAACACATCAAGCAGCACAGCGAGCAGCACGAGCAGTGCTCATCGAAGTGATGTGGCTGGCCTTCCTCAAGGGTTAATGGAGATCTCAGAGGGTTTGAGTTCTCTTACTAAATGTCAATAAGCTGTAACTCAAATGCACCTTAGAATGTGTTGTACCAGCATTTATGGTGAAGGAAATTTGGGAAACCATTTCTTATATTCACACCTTGGCATCCAGCCACCAGGAGCATGCATAGCACAACAAAAGGAGACAGAAATTGAAACCTGCAATGACACTCACATCTTTGTTTTTTCGGAACAATGTTTTGGCTTCTTTTATAATGTACTCCCTCTCTGCAGCAGTTTCTTCCACCTGTCCCGACGCTGACTGCCATTTCTTGGCGATTCGGAACACCTTGCGGTAAAGGCCCAGCACTTCTTGTCGTGTGACTGCTGCCATCTGAAACAAACCAACACCACAAAAGCCCCAATGTATGTCAAAGATCACCACGCATTCTGTTTTTCTACACAGTTCAATTGGCTTAGGAGTATTTCCACCACCTAAAGAAAGAACTGAGACAGCTGTAAAAAGCAATTAGCTGTTGAAACCTGAAGACTCAGTCCAGCAAAATATCAGCACTGAGACTTAAATCTGCCCCAGAGCAGGCAGCCTGAGCTCCTGCCTGAAGTTAAGGGCTCGCTGCAGTGCTTTGCTGAACCAATCACCGGCTCAGGAATGGCCACGTTTTCCCTCACTGCTATTTTGCAACAGGCATTGGGCGAGTCACCGAAACTCTGAGGTGTCCCCGTTGTGTTGTAACAATGCCGACCCTGTCTGCACCAGTACCTTCAGATCTGTGAGTCAACCACACGATGACAGCACTACAGCACTGCTGAATGCCAGTATCGGTGTGGATGGGGCTGCTGAATCACCGCCTGAACTCTGATTGATCACCTGAGGCCAGCACTGAGTCAGCCAAGGAGCACAGGTGAAGGCGATTCAGCTGTGCTGCAGGAAGGGGTGGAGCCTGGCTGCGCCTCTCCCAGACCCATTGAAGAGCTGACCACCAGCAGGGAAGGATCTCTGCTGGAGATCCACTCCACTGGAGTTTCCCATGCGAGCCCAGGATATGGGTGAGTGTACCTATCATGTCTGTTGCCCGCTCTGGTGTAATAACATCATAGCCAAGCTCTCTGTTATACCATACCATCTCATTCATTATTTGTACACTGCTATACCATAACATTGGTATATTCATTAACTGTACATGGTGCCAGATGCAAAGCAGCTCGTTTGCTGCGATACACCAGCGTATAGCAATGATTCAGGCAGAGTCTGATGTGATGAAGAGGTGATGAAAGCAATGTTATCTGAGCATCACAGGAGGCAGACAAACAGTGAGTTTAGGACAGTCCCGAGCACCCCAATTTTTGGAGAGCTGGCTACCTGCTCTCCACACTCCAGGTGTGCCAACAATCTGTGTCAGAAATGAAGAATGAAATCCCATTCTCATTCTGTGTAAATGAGTGCTTTGTCATGTAAGCGGTGCCACTAAGATAGATCCCTTTCCACCTGGATTAGATTCACCAAAACAATGGCTTCAGGGATTGTCAAAGGTATTTTACTGTCCCTGAAGGACAATGCAGCAGCACTGCAAAGTAAGTGCGTGAGTGCGATGAGGAGTGAATGCTGAGCACAGCACCTGACTGGGCTGTCTTGGGACCTACTTGCCAACTTGGAGCTCCAGTTGCTGAATGCACCCTGACATCAGACCACAGCAGTTAGAAGCAGGGTCACCGCTGTCCTCTGGGAAAAGAAGGCCTTCCATCACCTTGGTGTACTGCAGAATCTGATTCCTAAAACACGCCCCCAAGTTACTGCAAGAGGTTTGGCAACTTGGATGTTTCACCTCCCTGTAGTCTGTAGTAATTCCTGTTACTGGGGAAAGCAAAGAGTGGTCAGGATGAGGCCATGCAGCTCTGAGAGACGATCCCACCAGGGCACTCGCCCTTACCAAATGTAGAGGCACAGTGCTGACCTAAGGACACAATTTGGTGCTCCGTGCTTTTGGCTAAAACTTCCCAACACTTCACTCCCAGCCTGTTCTGCTGTAAGCATTGCCATCACCTGAAAGCTCCTTGTTTCATAACCTCTGTAGAGGATCTTAAATACAGATATGAAATTCTTTCTCTGATTATTGAGAGAACATTTGTATTTCCATATTTTAAAATATTTACCTAATCGGATATTTTCCTCCACGTACAAATTGATTTCTCTTAGCCAGCAGAAATTATTTCTAGTAAATACGTAGGGTATTTCCAGGGAGCAAGTACCTGTGATAGAACAGACAGGCAGCCCCACTCATCAATCACTTTGGAACAAAAGCTTCACTTTATTCACTCTACAGCTCCAATTCTGGGAAAGAAATAAAATCAATCATACACAAAACCACTCATGCACTTGTATCTTAGAAATCATTGCTTCCTGCTGGGTTCTTTTCCAAGTAGCAGCAGCTTGGTTGCAGGGCTGCCCTACAGCCTGAGTCCCACACCACGGCCTCACCCTCTCTGCTTCTGTTCCCAGGCGTTCTCTGGGAGCTGCTCACACTTGCAGCTCCCCAGTGCTAATAAATGGGAGTGTGCTCTTGAGAGCTTCCTTCTAGGTTTTCACATAATCCATAAATAATAATAAGAGAAATAATTTCAGGGGAAACTAAGTTTTGAATAGATATTCCAATTGCATCAAGTTCCTGCAGCCACAGCTCAGGACCTGTACCTCAGAGCTGTAATCACAATTAACACTTCTGGATCTTAAACAACACAAAGAATCTGTTCATTAAGATTTTGTCTGGAAGTTTAGGAGCAGCATTCTTTTCTGCCACTGTCTGCTTCCTCTCCTCCCCCTGGAATTTACTTCTCTGTTCTGCAATGTCTTGGTGCTGGAAGGGACACAGGGCTGCACAGCCTCTGCTGCAGCACTGCTCTCCTTCCTGCACATGCGGGGTGATAAACATGGAAAGCAGACCTCCACTCGCCCTCAGCAACCAGCTCCTCCTGCAGCTGCCGTTAGTTAATGATTTGCACAGTTCCTGCACAGATCCATGAAGGTGTGAGGAGCTCTGTGCCTCCTCCTCCAGAGCCAAGAGCAGACAGGACAAAATTCAAAGCGTGGGTCAGACTCTGACCTCAGAATGCAAACAGGGAGTGGATTCCACAGAGAGAGAAAAATTACTTTCAACCTAAAACGTGAAGAAGAGATCCATTCTTTTTGTTACAAACAGAACCCACACTGACAGAAGTGTAAGGAAGAAAGTAAGGAATTAGTGCAATTCTGCAGCTGACACCACTTGTATTAGTTTTGTGGGTGTGCAGAATGACTCTGAGTGGGACAGAAAGGAGGATAAGGAAGGATTTTGTGTCCTCTTAATTACTCATCATGCTGCTTACATCCTTGGCATTTACATCATGATTATATTTTGCAGCTCTGGAAAGCAAAGTGGATGTTGCAGCACTTTCCCACTAACGTGCATCTCACGATGGTCACCACTCGTGTCTCTGTGGAATGCAGCCCACAGATGTTACCCACAAGTGCTTTTGTCACAGAGTACAGAGCTATGCCATTTGCTGAGCAAATCTCAGGTGTTTACTCCAACAGAGCAAACAAGGAGAGGTCGAAGGTAGGTCTGCAGTGTGACAAGTGGTGGGGTGCAGGCTGCTTCAGGGCAGGTGAGTCAGCAAGCCCTCCAGGAAGAGACTGCTGGATGCTGAGGCACAGCCCAGACCGCTGTGGGGCTGTGTCCTTCTTTTCATCTACCTGCAAACCCGTTACAGCAGGCAGGTCAAGCGCTCCAAGTGTCCCATTGTTCCCAAACCTGCAAAGGCGCCTTGAGCTTTCAGGAGCTACTGCACGAAGAAAACGCAGTTTTTTTTGTTGTGTTCATTAAAACAAGTAGTCCTCTAGACTACAAAAGGTAAAAGCATGTTTCTCTTTCAAGAAACAAACACGCATGCCTTTGATTTTTTCGGATGGTCAAAAAAGTCAGTGCAGAAGTTCAATGGCCTGAATAACCAGTTGAACACCCATCTTCTTTTGCTATTTGCAGGTTTGCATAGCATTCAAATTAAAAGTACACACAAAAAGAAGGAAGGGAATCTGTCAGCTGCACTGTGAGGTGGCACCAGGAGTGCAGTGTCAGAGCTAGGATGGGGGCCAAGTGGCACGGACACTCATTGGCGAGCAGCAAATTCACAGTGTGGGCAGCCCTCTCCCAGCTGCACGGCTCCTCCGCCGCACCATATGTCTGTTTCATGTCATCCTTCCACGTCAGCCATTAGCTACTCACTTTAAGCATCAAATCTGCAAGCAGCAAGCGCAAGGAGGGCTTTAGTCAACAAAGGGTGAAAGCTCATAGGGAAAAATGGATATTTCAAAACAACAGATTTTTACTAAGATCTAACTAAGGCATGCATTAGGAACACAGACGCTTAATGATGACGCTGAAAGCATATCTGCCCAAAGGAGAAGGCAGGGAACAGAACACTGCATGGAATCTCCTGACAAGGGAGGTTTGAACTTCTCAGGTGTGAAACGTTTTACCCGGTGGCAGTACGCCCTACACTACTGGCAGGGTTGCTCTGCCAAGTTGCTGGGCTCACCGTGGAATGAAGTGACATAATTCAAAAGCATAACGCATGAACGTTATGGTACAAAACATGATCACCTTCAGCCTGAACAAGAATCTATATCTCATATTTTTAAATGCACTCCTTGGCTAACATTCATTTAAAGAGATACAAAAAACCTGCGCGTAGCCAAATGATAGCACTCAGCTAAGCAGCTCATCTCCTGCCACTAACACAGCAATAAGGCTCGTTTCACACCCACCCACAGCAACAAGAAGTCAGCAATCTACACTCGCCCTCGGGCACATTTCTCTGGCACACTGTGGTGGGTCAGGGAGAGGAGGGCCCAGGCTCTGTGACAGCTGCACACTGAATTCCAGAATTCACCTTCCATAAAAGTAATTCTGTTCTCTCTTACTCAAATCAGAGACATGGTGATCTGTGACAGCTATGTGCCTGCAGTCAGCACCTGGCAAAAAACTGTGTTTGATTTCCACTGCTTTCCATTCTTAATGGAACGTTTACACCTTTTTCTTTTATAGATTCAGACAAAATCAAACAATAACAAGACTTCCATCACAGCTAAAGTATTCTGTTGTCACATGGTGAAAAATGAACTAAGCTGGAAGATCACACTGTTCCACACTACATCCTCATTTCCACCAGCGATACAAACCTGCACGTCTCAATAAAATTCCACCAAAGACCAATTTGATTCCAAGCATTTCCAAGCTGTCTGCTACAACCATAAATCTCAGCAAATTTGATGACAGAGCAATTGAATTGAGTTACTTAGTAATGACACCAGAAAGAAAGCAAGGTGGCTTTAGAGTGGTTGTCTAATTTGTAACACCAGTACCTTGCTGCTGGCAGGCTGAAGTGGTTTGAAACACCAAGTACCACCTCTCACACAGCTGAAGTCCCTGTGCCTGCGCTGCCCATCAGCTGCACTGGGAGTGCTGCCTATCTGCTGCTTCCTGGGAGCACTGCCTGCACCTGGCTGTCCGTTCAGCTCCCTCCTACAAAGGGGCTGCCTGTTGGTGTCGCCTTTTGGTGAGAAAAAGGAAACAGAACACAACGAGAATGGAATTAAGTAGTAAGAGTGAGGGCTTGGATTTTATCACTGGTTTCCAGTGCAATTTCAAACAAGTAAAATTGCATAAAATGAGGATTCTTTGCCATTCTCTTTATTTGAATAAACAAAAGTGGAAACCCTTAACTCATCCCTTTTGATGACAGCTTTCATTCCCTCTCTCTAAGGCTGTTGAGACATCACCTGGTTTGCATGGGATGGGCAGAGTGCGCTCTGCCAGCCTCAGAAGGAATAGAAACCCTGACCACACTGCAGAGAGGCGGTGGGAAAAGGAAACAGGAAAAAAGCTTCTTTAAATATCTCTTAATTAGTTGTCACAAAGCCAGCAGAGTTCAGGTGAACTCTACGGCACGGTGAGCTCACCCCTAGCATCGTGCAGCCTTGCCACTCATCATTTCAGAGACTTAGAAATGCCTTCTCACATTTAGCTCTGTTAGTCACAAAGGGAAGAAGAGGTTTTAACGCAGTGCAACACACGCTGCAGAGAACGCACAGCTCAGCTCCCCCTGCTCACCCCGCACGATGCTCATGAACACCCAAAGACGGGGCCGCAAAGCCCATCACGGACGCGCTCTTCCATCGCCCCGCTCGGGGCCGAGCAGCGCCGTGCGCACAGCGGGCGGCCCGGGGCTCCGCTCCGAGCGCCTCCCGCACAGCACCGCGGTGCAGCAGCTGATTCCCGGCAGCGGTTCACGCTGCTGCGGCTCCTCGGCCGCTCCCGGACGAACGCGGGGCGTCGCGATGCGGGGAGCGACCTGCGGGGAGCGAGCAGCGAGGGGCGGGGCGCGGCCGGGCCCGGCATCCCGAGCCGCCAGCGCCGACACCGGGGTCGGCGCAGCGCCGTGGACCGGGAGGAAGCGGAGAGACCGCCCAACCCAGCCCAGCCGGACCAAGAAGCCCCGAGACCCCCAGCCGGGCCCCGAGCACCGCCGGCGCCGCGGCCGCCACAAGGGGCCGGGCCCCGCCCTGTCCTGCCGAGCCGCCAGGCCGCATAGGGGCGCTGCAGGCACGGGTACCGCTCTGCCCCCTGGCGGCCGGGGCGGCCTTGCCCCGCACTTGGCGGAACCAGCCCCAGCCCCAACGCCCGCCCTCCCGCCTCTCCCTCTCTCCGCCTCACCCCCGAGTCCACTCGCTCGCTCTCAGTACCCACTTTACTTTCTAGCAGAAGCTCCTCCAGGCTGCGCTCTCCGCCCTCGCGCCGTGGCTCGGCTCCCCTCTCCTCTCGTCTCGTCTCTCCCGCCGCGCCGGGCGCGGTCGGCGGAGCCCCAGCCTCCACCGTGCGCACGGCGCCGGGCGCGCTGTATGACGTCACGACGCCAGCTGACCACTCGCCCCCGGAAGTGATGCGGGGCTCCGCAGGCTGGCCGGGATCGCGGCGGTGAGTGACCGGCGGCGCGGCTCTGCCCTGCGGGGACGCGGCGGGACCCGCGCTCTGCCCCTCGGCGGCCCTTCGGCCGTCGCCGCCGCCCCCTGACGGCGGGGCGTCTCTCGTTTGCGCGGGCGGCGACCGCCGCCGGGCCCGGCCGGGAGCCACAGCCTCGCCCGGAGCTGCCGCGCGGGCGGTTCGTGCGGAGCCGCGGAGCCTCGGGGCGAGCCGGGGGCTCGAGCGGGGCCGGGCGGGGCCGAGCCACCGGCGGGGGCTGCCGCGTTCCGTCCGAGCCGCCCTCGGTAGCGGCCCCGGGCCGGGCAACGCGGCCGCCTCGCTCGGGAGGTTCCCGCGGTCCGGGCCCCAGCGCTGGAGATGAGCCGCGGAGTTCTCGGGGGCAAAGCGGAGCTCCAGGAAGGCGTGCGGTGCTTGGCCTGGAAGGCAGGCAGTTCTCTGCTGTCTGAACACACCGCCTTTGTAGAGCGGTTCCTCTCTCCGTTCGCCTTTCGGTGCAGCTATGAGCTCCTTACCGGGCCGTACCTGCTGCGCTGCCCCGGCGGCTCCTGGGCCTGCAGCTGGGCGGTCCGCACTGCTGGGGAGCGCTGCTGAGAAGTACAGACCGTTCCTGTCGGTGCTGGAAAGAGCTGTTTGTTTCTGATCTTTTAAACAGTTAATGCTGCCGATGTGCCATCCTTCAAAATGTTTCACTGATAACTGGAGCCCAAGTACTTATGTACAGCATTAATCCACAGCTGTAAGTTCACTTCAAATGATACCATCCATAGTATAATTAGAGGGGAAAGCAGGTGAAGCACTCAAAGAGCTGAGCTGTAGACCCAAAGCACAGAATGGGCCGGTGGATCCTGAAATATCTGTCAGGCCTCTGTGTTGGGCAGCAGTCCTTGCGTGCTGTTTCCTTCTTGGGGGAGCCATTAGTCAGAAGGCATCTCTTGTAAGCACACTCTGATTGTTGGCCTGGGAGCCTCTTCATTTAACAGTTGATGTGAGACTGAGATCTTAGTGTTTTGTTGGGCTAGCAATGGAGAGAGGGAACATCCGAGGGCTGCTGTTCTTTAAGTGCATCTGAACTCTGCTTTGTTTTTTCCTGCTCTGAGGAGCTCCTCTGAAGGAGGAATGGTTCTGTGTGAGAGTGGAGAGGTCTGGCTTCGCCTTCTTGTCAATTCCAGGGTTTGTCTTAAATCTTACGCCTCCCCTGCACACGTGCTAATGGTGTGTGGGAAGGCCTTACAGCCCTTTACGTGGAAGGCGACATACAACCTGAAGCAAAGACTTTCTGCACATCAGCAGGAAAAGGAGAACTTGTGATCTGCATGGAATTAGTTCAAGTTAGCAGAACTGGCATTACAAATTTGCTGCAAGCATCTTCTCTTGCAAGGATTCCTGAAATTCTGATCATTTTCTAAAATCAAGTTCTATGCAGGCACAAGTTAGATCTTTAAATAATTTGACAAAACTATTAATGGCAGAGTACGCAGCTCAGTGTGATGCTTTGAAACTGCTTTCCTCTTGAGACTGATAACCTGTGGTATGATCCATTGTCTGCTGAGTTAGGTGCCTTCCTTGCCTGCTCTCTTACTTTGTTTTGGAGTTGCCCATTGCCATATTCATAGACAATTTTGCTTCACTTGTTCTTATTGATCTTGGAAATTCATTCATAATTATATCTTTTAACTTGCATGGATAACACAATAGGAGAGGATGATCAGATGAACTGAAATGCTGATTTTTGAGGCAAAACCCAGAACAGCTCTTTTGAAAGTCATTAGTTAAAATTAGTTAAAGAGGTATGTTCTGAGGAAGAGAAGCCACCAGTCCGTTTGACTGACTTCTAAGACAGAGGGGTTTGTTGTGATGGAATTGCATGTGGATGAGGGTGAGGCTCCATCCCACTGATTTCTTTTCTTCTACATTAAGATAGGGGAGAAAATCCTATATGGTGTGTGCATGTGTACTGGGGCAGGGCAAAGTAAAGCGGGGAAAAATGGCAGTGGAAGAACAGGGAATGGCCACGACTATTCTAAACCTTCAGACCTTGTAAACTTACATTTACTCACACCAGAAAATGATGTGTGCCTGTGAGTCTGTGTTGAGTACCCCAGTACTGCTCAGAATGCTGATGTAGAGCCTTGCGGCACTGCAAAAATGTTTGGGGCTTTGGCTGTTTGTGAAAAGTTGGAAGATGCAGAACCAGGGTCTTTGTCCCATCAGGCACACTGGTCTGTAGAAATAAAGGTAACAGGAAAGCTTGTTGGAGTAAGAAGGAATTGTAAAATTAAAGGTATGTGATGTTAGAAAAATAGTACTTTCTATTGTGCTCATCCTTAAAAATAAAAGAGGAGCTGAAGATTTCTAGCCAGTATTTTGGGAGACTGGAAGCTCAATCTGTAATGCTCAAGGGACTTGCTAGTCATGAGATAAGAGCAGACCCTTATCCCCTCCGTGGGGATTCCCTGGCTGGGCTCCTCTGCTCCAGCTCTTTCTCCCTGGGGGTCTGTGTCTTGTCTCACCGGTTAGCTCACTGTCTTCCTTTCCTTACCAGCCCCTGTTTGGTAGGCTTTGTCTTCTGGTTACTGGACATCTCATAATTCCTTTTCTCTTTCCCCTCCCTCCTTCTGAAAATACTAGGTTAATTGGCTCTAGTGTTTTGCAGGCTATCTGCCTGGGTGACACAGAATAATTGTATCCCTGACTCTAACTTAGTCAGTAGTAATGACGAAGTAACTAGACTGGAAACAATGGTAATTTTGTGGCAACTTGCCTTCTGGTGGTATGCCTCCTGCAATAAACCGTATATAACACTGCTGGACTGCCCATGCCAGTATTGTTATTGTTATGATACCGTGGGATGTCTCAGACGTGTTGTTTGAGACACCCAGCCTCTCCTGCATTACTTGTTAACTGCAGTTTGAGTCGGGTAATTGCTGACCTGGGCTGCAGCCTTTCAGAGAGCGAGAGGAAGACCCCAGACTTGGAGATGTGCTCGTGTTGTTTGCTTCCACCTCATCTTCACCTTTTCTCATGACATCCAGAGATTGTCCCTGTCACCAGGAGCTTGGTTGTGATGGTTCTATGTTCTGCTCTCTGTTGTAACCAGACCAGAAGAAATACTGGGGGAAAAAGGTCAATCAAGGCTGCTTGCCTAGCAGTTAGCTTGAGAACTAACCCTTTTGGAGTCAGTAGGCCTGCGTTTTATCTGTCCTGGAGGACAGTGCTCCTGTCAACTGATGTGTTATTGAAGTGGAAGCAGGAGGTTGGTGGGTCAGGGGCTGCTTAGTTGTTTGTATTAAAGAGCTCTTTTGTAGAGGTTGTAATAGTGTAGGCAAACAAAGACAGGAGTGCTGAAGAGAGTGAGCTGTGATGATCTTCTGGTGTCTCGGAAGGAAAGTTAGAAATGCGGTTCTGTCTGGGACATCTGCTTTGTGAAAAACAAAACTTAGAAAAATGTGAGACTGCTAATACTGACCTTCTGTTGCAGATCGTTATTGCCAGAAAGCCAGGCTGCTGAAGACAGTGTGACAATTTGTTGTCTCACTTCTCCTTTTTAGTAACTGTGTTCTTTAAAAAAAACAAAACAATTCAAAGGATTTTTGTGCTCTTGAAAAATACCGCTCTTATTTCTGCATCCAAGTAGTAGCAGACTGTGGCAAATTGTCAGCTCTTACTCTAATTTTTTTCCTAGTGTAATATGAGTTCTCCTTTTTGCAGTTTTGAAACACTTACTGCTTCAGTGTTAGCCTTTTGTTTGGAAAATTAAGAGGGAGACAAATCATCCTAGCACCAAATGGATATGGGGGGCATGTGTAGCTTAGTGAAGCTTAGGCCTGTAAATCTAGATGTCCCAGAACTTGGCCATGTGCTGGCTATTCAATATTTTCATTACAAGTGGGTCTATATGGAGATCCTCAAATACTCTGCATTAGCGCTCAAATGGGTGGTCCAGAAATGCTACAGGTCTGATACACAACGCATACTGCCTGTTAGGGAGTTAGGGAGTGTACATGTTGTGAGACACAGGGACAGATACCCACACAACTTACCAGGTTTCTGAAACAAACAGCAAGTGAGTGAAATCAAGGATAGGTGAAAATTCATCTACAAAGCATGGTGGCTGAAGCTGCCACCAGGCTGGCAAGGGGGAGCTGATGCTCTGTGTTATAACTGGTAATGTAAGTCAGAGGGCTCAGAGGGTCTGCTTAGATGTTCTTGCTGCAGTTAGCATCTGCACACTGTGTAAAGAACTGGTGCTGTGCACTGTGATGGGCAACTCATTAGAGAGAGCTGAGGTCTCTGCAGGTGACTTTGTGTATCTTCTGCTTCAAAAATGGCAGTCAGAGTTTTGAAAATCCAAGTGCACGCTCTTAAAATGCTATAAGGTTTCTGTTTGCTTTTAAGCCTTTCCACTTTGTACAATGCCTTGTACATAACTTGGTGTTTATTCCAATATTTACATGGCTGGGTGCTCCTGCAGTTCCTGCACAACTGCATGAAGCGAGTGATTCGGTCGGCTGGCAGACTTCACTGAGACGGGTGGCAGGGCCTCTTGTGAGCATCTGATGCCACAGGTGATGTCAGGAGGCAGTCTGGCTCCCGCCCCATGCTGCTGGGTGCTGCTGGGCACCTGCGTGGTGCTATTGGCTGATCCGAGCTGTGCTGGAGGTGGTACACCACTAACCAGAGCTGCTGCGAGGGCTTTCTGGTTTTGCGGGATTAGTGTAGCTTTCTGAATTGCTGGGAGCAGGGAGAAATATGGAGTTATGAACTTGTTACCTCAGTTTTAAGCATAACTAATTGGTACAGAAATCACTGATAATCCACTTTAATCCTGTTCTGCTGTACAGAAGCAATGGAAATACCTCCATTTCTTCTGGGTGAAATCTGCTAGTCAAACTCAGAGCACTGCAAAATCCACACACACCCGGCCCGGTCTGTAGACCGAGGCTGTTTTTCTGAGTCACTCTGGTTTGGCTGTAGGATAGTTGCGGATTTCTGTACTTTATGGAGTTGCCTGAGACAAATTAAGGTATGTATTTGCAGTGCAGCACTCAAATGCTCAGAGCCTGGTGTGTCTGTGTCAGGCATCTGAGAATTGTGGTTTCTGCAGGTATTCTGATCAGCACGTTTGCTGAAGTGGTGTGAAACAGTTGTGTCTCAGCATATAGAGTAGCTCTGCCCCTGGCATATACTGCTTTTGTTGTGAATAGCACATACTGAAGAGCTGGAGATCTATTATGTTGTGCAAAAGTTACAGTGAACCCTGGAAAAGTGATGAAGGAATTGATTATACATCTTGCATGTGAAGGGGAGAGGGGAAAGGCTGACAGCTGTAACGAGATGGAGATGAGCTGCGTGGTGACTGAGTCTTTATTTCATAAAACTGGTGGATTCTAACACACCCAGGGTTTGAGTGTTGAAGTGTGTACTGGATGAGAAATGGCTTTGAATCCAGCCTGGTTCTGGGTTCAGCTTTACTGAAATTGATGGTGTCATCTAGAATGGCTGCATCCTCTGACTGTCATATTTCCCCTCTGTTTTGCTTGTAGCCTAAACAAATTTCTCAAAGCAAGTACTTCTGCTCTGTCAATTAGTTCATTAACTTATTTATATTACAGAACCACCAGAAGATACCTTTCTACCATTGTGCATTAGTTAGCTAACCAGACTTGGGTTTATCCTGTGAAAATACAATCATCCTAGCAAATCTTTCTATCCACCTAATAAATTAGGATGAAGCACATATTGGGAAAAGATTTAAAGCTTCTTGATGGGGCTGAGTATGTAGGGTATTGCGTGGTTAGAGAATGCAAAATAGAGGGCGGGATTCAGGCGTGATGTGCTGGAAAAGCTGTTTAAACAATGTGCCTTCTGTGAGCAGAAGTCACGGTGCTCAGGGATAGGCTTTGCCCCAGGTGGGGTTGGGCACAGTCCCAGTGCTGGAGCTCATGGGAGGCCACTTTCAGCCATAGCGTTTGGGTGGTGCTGTGTGGGGCTGGGGCTCAGTGATCCCCATGAGTGCCCTCCAGCTCAGGACATTCTGTGACTGTGTGATATCACAGAATCCTTAGAGTTAGAGGGGACCTTTAAAGGCCATCCGATCCATCTGCCTGCCGTGAGCAGGGACACGCACAGCTCCATCAGGTGCTCTGAGCCCACCCAGCCCGGCCTTGGCTGTCTCCAGCCATGAAGCATCCACCACCCTCACTGTAACAGACTTCTTCCTTATGTCCAACCTAAACCTTCCTGTTGAAGTTTGAAGCCATTATCCTTGCTCTGTCACCACAGACCCTGCTGAAGAGTCTGTCCCCTTCTCTCCTCTTGCTCCCCTTTAGACACTGAAGGCCATTCTCAGGTCTCCTCAGAGCCTTCTCTTCTCCACCTGCACAGCCCCAACTCTTTCAGCCTGTAGGTGCTTCAGTCGTAGGTGAGGTGTTTTATTCCTTGGAGCATTTTTGTGGATCTCCTCTGGACGTGCTTCAACAACTCCTTGTCTCTCCTGTACTGAGGACTCTCCCTATCTGGGTGCAGTGCTCCAGGTGAGGCCTCACAGTGCAGAGCAGAGGGGCAGGAGCACCTCCCTTGACCTGCTGGCCATGCTGCTTTGGATGCAGCCCAGGACACGGTTGGCTTTCTGGACTGTGAGGGCACATTGCTGGCTCATGTCTTGCTGCCATCCATCAATACACCCAGATCCTTTTCAGCAGGGCTGTGCTCTATCCTGTCATTCCCCAGCTTGTGTTGGTAGTGGATGTTGCCTCGACCCACGTGCAGACCCTGCACTTAGCTTTGTTGAACCTCATGAGGTTCACCTGGGCCCACTGCTCAGCCTGTCTGAGTCCCTCTGGATGGCATCCCCCCCTCCCCCGGTGTGTCAACCACAGCCCTATGAGACACTGTGACCGCTCTGGTTTGGTTCCTGGCACTCAGAGCTGGCCCTTGACCTGCTGCCAGGTGTCAGTCAACCTATCTGGTCCTGCACTGCCCACCTGCATGCCTTGCTTCCACTCCGAGGCAGATGTATTTTGTTGAGGCAAACTGTGTCCTAGTTGTTTGGGTTCCTTGAATATTGCAGTTTGATTCCAAAAAGTAAGGCTAACCAGAATGTTTTGTTATCCTGATGTGAAACAGGTCAGAGTTCCCATTCTTCTTTTCATTGGTCATGAGCTGACTCTAGTTCACTGAAAAATGTTGAAGCAGGAAGCCTGACAAACTTGCAGTTCACTGTTAACCAATTACAGCAGAGCTTTCTTGCTTTTACACTGCATCTAAGTAATGAAGAAGTAATTCTGCATGAATGCATATCTTCAGTAGAGATGTGGAGCTGTGCTGCAGCCCCCGCTAGTGTGCACTTGTTTAGGACTGTGCGAGCTGTGCTCTGAGCTGGCGAGAACCCACAGCATTTCTGCGGTGTTCCAGAGAGCCCAAGCCACAGTGGGCAGGCAGACACGGATGCAAAAAACACAAGGGAGTAGATCAGGGTCCCAGCAATCCTGAGGTGTGCTTCTTTTGCTCCCTTATTTTCCCCAGGGACTGCCATCTGGGTTCACTAATGAACACTGGGGTCTGCTCAGAGCAGCTGCAGTCTGAAGCTCCTGGTGTCACCAGGGAGGTGCTTTGCGTTGTGGTGTCCAGCTGTGCCTCTTCGTTGTGCCCCAAAGTCTGAGTTAAAACCCTTGCCCTGGAGAGCTGGACTCTTGCTTTCAACTTGGAATGCATGCTGGCTGCCAGTGTGTGATATAGTTCGCTAGAAACTGAGGTTTGGTGGATCATAGGCTTCTGAAAGAGTCCTTATCTGCTTGGGGAGCAGTTTGTTGTGTGAAGTTGCCATGCTAATGCTTTTTTTTTTTTTTTTTTTTTTTTTTTTTAATGGAGACTGCAAGATATTGCCTCTCCACTATTTCCACGGGTTCCTGGGGGAGCAAGGCTGCAGGGCTCCCTGTTCTGCCTCCCCTTTGTTCCCCAAGTGAATATAAGAACAATTACTTAGCTGAGAGGCAGGCAAAATAAATGAACAGAGAGGTGGCAGCTGTTGAATTTTGTGGAATTTTGGGAAGCTGTGGTCCGATAGAAACCCAGACTGGTGCCTGCACTGCACACAGCAGGAGTGGTGGCACAGGAATGGGGGTCTGTACAGCATGACATGTTGAGAACACAGTCTGAACAACCCTCTGGGAGGACTGGATCTATGGTATGTAAGGTGAGCTTTGGAGGCAGAGGACGCATGTCTACAGACATGCAGGCTTTTTGGAATATCAGCTTCAAGAATTGTCTAAAAATGTTTCAGTGAGGGTGCATTTTTGCTCTGTGGGTATATATGACAGTCAAAAGTAGTGCCTGACAGTTCCTGGCCTTCTCAAAGTGTTTTGGATGCCTGCTTCCATAGACTTACATTTTTTAGAATAGCCTTGATCTAATGTATATCGTATTCTTGTTTGCTCAGCACCATCTGTGTAAGGGACTTCTGTTTGAGGAAATCTCGCTTTATCTGGAGAATGGCACATGTAAGAACATGTTTTATGGCTATCTTTCTACATCCATCCTCTACTTTCTACTGAGAAAACAATGAGACAAGCTAATTTTCCAACTAGATTCCTCACAACCAGGTCTCATGTAAAAAGTAACCATGCAGAAAAGCAGCTTTTGATCTCCTGCCTGCTCCTTAATTGCACTAACGGTGACAATGAGATATTTCAGGGTTTGCACGGTTAAGCAGAGGAGCTGCCACAGCTTTCTTGTTTATTTTTTCTTTACATCAGCTCTGAACAGAAGTGACGACAAGGAGCTGCAGGTGCAGCACTTGCTGTACAAAGCAGACGTGCCTTTGTCTGTCCTTATCTCGAAAGAGCTTCTCAGTTATCCTGGTAAAGTTGGGAATTGAAAAGAAATGAGGCTGAGTCAACTTGACTGAACATGGAAAAACAAACATGAAAAAACAAACATGGAAAAGAATGTGCTAGAGAAGGAAAAAAAAAGAGAATTAATTTCTAGACCCAGATTATGCTGTACTAGGGAGCAACTGTCTGGTATTCACAGATTAAACAGTGGCTTAGCTAACATGCATTGATAGTGGTAGCACGGAATGACTTAAGCTAGAAGGGGCTGCAGAGATCAGCCGGTTCCAACCCCCGTCCCTCTGCGCAGGGCTGCTCTCTGTGAGCTCTTCTCCCAGTCTGCACACACCTGGCGCTGCCCCGACCCGAGCACAGCACCCCGCGCTGCGCCTCGCTCGGCCTCAGCAGGTTCTCGTGTGCCCCTTCTCCAGCCTGTCCAGGTCCCGCCGGGTGCCGCCCTCCCTTCTGCTGTGCCATCGCAAACTGCTGAGGGTGCGCTGAACGCCATCCTCCATTGGTGCCAGTGGTTGAAGAGCGCCGCTCCCAAGAGGGACCCTTGGGGGACGCTGCTTGTTGGCCTCCACCCGCACGCAGAGCCACTGAGCGCAGTGCTCTGGCTGTGAGCGCAAACCAGTTCCTTATCACTGAGCAGCACCTTCAGATCCAGCTCTGTTCGACACACAGACGAGGACGTGGCGCAGGACGTGCCGAAGGCCTTGCGTGGATCCGGGCAGGCGACACCAGGTGCCCTTCCTTTGGCCACTGATGCCAGGCTCCGTCGCAGAAGGCCACCGGACGGGTCAGGCGCCATCCTCTCTTGGTGAAGCCGTGCTGGCTGTCTCAGATCCCCACTCATCCCTTACGTGCCTTGGCATCTCTTCCAGGAGGATCTGCTCCACAGTCTTCCCAGGCACAGAGGTGATGCTCACCAGCCTGTAGTTCCCCAGCTCCTCTTTCCTCCCTCTCTTGCTAATGAGTGATGGTTCCCTTTTTCCAGTCTCTGGGGACCTTGCTTGACAGCCATGACAACCCCATGTTAGTTTTGCCCTGAGGGCCTGAGATGAGGAATTAACTCTCCCCTGCTGAAAGTCTGTGTTTACTTTTAACAAATATTTGAACTTGTCCATTGTATTCAGTACTTGGTCTGTGCTTTCTATAATAATGCATAGTTAGTTAATGCTACTCAGTAAGTGAAAAAGTGAACCAGTTTTATAAAGTCTCTTTTAACAAATGAGTTTGGACTACAGAAGTTTAAGTGCTACTGCACAGTTTAGTGCATTTTATGGTTTTCATTGTCTCTTTGAAATGTAAAGTTTTGTTTCAGCCCTTTTGTTTTACAGTGTTCCATGTGGATCCCAGAGGGCCTGCAGGTGGCTGTGAAAGCCAATGGAATGACTGCCTACATCATAGGAGTGATGTAAGTAGAAGTCTGCTTACAAGATCATGGCTGCAGTGTCAGCTGTTGGAACTGCAATTGCTTCTGGTTCAGCAGTTGCAGTGATCCTCTGGTGCCTCCCCTGTGGAGAGCATTGTGTGCCTGTTCAGAGTTGGAAATTGAGGGGGCACCCGTGATGCTGTTCCCTATGACCTGCTATGTTAGAAGTCGTGCCTCCTGCCCACAAAAGATAAATAATGCACTGTGAAATTCCGTACTCTGTCTAACTGTTTGCAGGAAGCTGAGGCTGGGGTGAGGCTTGGTGAAGCTGGAGCCATTGTTTTTGCCTTGGCTGAAGAACTGCTTCTGGTTTACTGGCTGGGGGAGCTGTGTACCTTTTGATATATGGTGTCTTAAACTTGTTTATGAGGACTTCTTAAACTTTTATTCTTTTCCTATGTCATGATATTTCCTGCTTTTTAAAATTCACTGTAAATACCTCGTGATGCAACACTTTATTAAACAGAGTAATGCGTGGCTGTATTTTGTTATTCTCTGGACATAACCAATAATTTCTATTGCTGCAGTGTTAGTCATTGGAGGAAAATAGTGGGTGTCTTAGATATCTCCTTTGCATGTTCTATTAACTTCCCCACTACAATTCAGGTGCTTTCAATTGAGCGTGGTGTTCTTTGTGCCAGTTATTGCCCAATCACTCTGTTGTTTACTCCCTTCAACTCTTGGTTTATGTGGGATCTGGTCACTTGAAAATATGAGATAAAAACGCACTGCTTTATAGGACTTGAAAAACGAAAAACAAAACAAACCATTAAGGGTCCTTCCAATCTTATGTAGTCTTCCTGTGTTACGTTCTGGGTAATATGGTCTACACATTCTTTGTTCTTAGAGGGTGGCTTTCCTTTAACTGGCTGCAGTCTTCCTGTGTTTCCAGCTGCTTTCTCTCCTCTAGAAGGAAATAGAGATGCCTTGCTAGGCAGTTTCTGTTGTGTGGAAGATGGGCATCATGGTGATTCATATTTACTGTAGGTTGTTACTCAGTGCTTGTCTGAGTAATCAGACTGCTCTGGGAGTACCATATCCTGTAGCACTGAGTGCGTCCAATTGTTAGTCCTGAGTTTTGGTCTTTTACTAGAATAGCAAAACTGGTGATCAGCGTCGTCTCTTCTGTCTCACTGTTAAGTTGTATAACCATCTTACAGTAATTTTGCTATTAAGTACTGATTCTTTTGGGAATTGGTGCTTTGCTGCCAGCCCAGAGTAACCTTTGGGTCAGTTACGCAGGACACTTCTTATTTGAAGTTTCCATTCCAACTAGGAGAAATATACCCATACCTCCTTTTCTCCCTTCTCTGTCACTGACATGACCTAGGTGTGACATTTGCTTTGCTCTCCAGTTGAATAAGTAGCTCTGGCCACTGATCTGGGAACGCTTTCTTTATACTCACTGAGCATGGAGGTCAGCGCAGCTCCTTACGCTGCAACCAAACCCTCCATCCATCCTCCATTAAGGAAAGCTCTGAATTCTTGCTTGTTTCCTTTTGAGGCTCTGGCTGCCATCATGGTTTGATGCTGAGTGATGTGGGAAGTGGAGGCAAGTAGTACATGAGGCAGATTGAGCACAGCTCAAGCATTCTATAAAGGAGCAGCTGAGAGCATGACTTGTCTCTTAGAAAACCAGTTGCACTGAGTAAACGCCAGTGGATGCAGTGCAGTTTATTATTATTTGTAGGAGGAAAATGAAGGGCGTGAGTGCTGAATTGTTTGTAAGAAATCACTGGAAGAGTAAGAATTGGACTTGGCATTTGAATTCTGATGAATTTAAAGAACAGAAGAAAGACTGATATCTGGGAGTTCATGTGGAGTTCTGCTGTGGAGCAGCAAATTACACTGTCTGGTAATATCCTGAGAAAAGGAGTGGGGCAGACTGGAGAAGGCAGCATTCCCTGGGTTTGTGGCAGGTCTGCAATTCATAGCTGTGAGCTGCTGAGGACCCATGAAATTCCTACAAATGATTTATGTGGAGATGCGTATCTTAGTGAATCATCTGAGGTACAACTGAAGAAGAAATTATTCTTGAGTATGTTAGATTGCATTTCCCTTGCATATAGAAATCATGTCATGGAGTTCATCTTCAAAGCAATTTTAGGAGTTTGTTCCTCCTGCTATAATAATAATAAAAAATTACACCAATTCTGAGTGATGAATTGAAGAATTGTTAAAGCTCGTTTTGTCAGTGTGGATGGAATCCCAAGTGCTGCCTGCCCACAGAGCAGGCACAGTGGTGGGAAGGATGTGTGTTCACAACTGCAGCGTGTGCTGCTGCTCTGACGTGGCTCCCAGCTTATAGCAGGAGGTTCCCTTTCTCCAGAGAAAGAGCACGGGAGGATGGCATGACATCTGTTTGCTTTCTTCATGTGTACTTCTCATCTCTTCTCATACTTGTTCTGTAAGCTGGAAGCAGTAACCAGAGCTATGAAGCAAACCCCATTTGTGTCTGAGGCTCCAACATGGAAGGAGGATTATGATGAGCAACTGCTTTCTGGTGATGATGCTCTAAGAAACAGACATGGTGGTGCTGGCAGGGCAGTGCCAGGCTGTCTGGTTACTTTTTATGGCATCATTTAAGATCCCTTCTCTGGGGGTGAAAAGTCCCTTCCAAGTATGGAACACATTAGCATTGGGGTTATGAAAATGAAATACAAGGAAATTGTTTTGGCGTTTTAATTTTTATTTTAGCAACTGAACTGGGATTACTGCTACTTCTGTGTGCCTGGTCTGGGTCAGGTTTCCTTGTTGCTGGCCCTCCCTTACCTCCACCCAGCGTTTTGTTTCACTGTTTTGCGCTCTGTAATTAAAACGTGGGCAGACTTTAAAAAAAACAGAACAAAACAAAAAAACATTTCCTTTAAAATATTTCTGGGTTAGAGTAGTCTGTCACGATGAAATCCGCACATGAATCAACCTCTTTGTAACCTATGTTGCCATAAGAATTTTAGGAATTTCCTTTATTAGGACCTGTTAATATACAGCAGCAACTGAGCGAGGTGAAGCAGCCTGGAATCGCCCAAAGTTTCCAGCATACACTGACTTTCTGCACACTATTCCTTTTCAGCAAGTGAAACGGAAGTATCCTGAAGCCTGTCTCCTTCCGGTGAATGTTATCCCACGTGTAATGCTTGCAATGCTCTTTGTGGAGAAGCAGCTCTTTCACTCTGAAACTGTTTTCCAGGTTGGCGGACGGCCGCCAGCGGCATGGTGCGATGTGCTGAGGGGCGGCCGCGGGGCTGTGGCACGGCGAGGAGCTGCTCTGAATGAAGCCAGGCTCCCTGCACCATGGGCCAGTGCGTCACCAAGTGCAAGAATCCTTCGTCTACCCTCGGCAGCAAAAATGGGGAAAGGGAAACGGGCAGCAAGTCGCATAGCAAGAGAAGTGCTGTCCACAAAGATGAGCAGGCTTCAGCGTGTGGGAAGTCCTCGGGAGACGTACTTGTGAACGGGACAAAGAAAGCGGATGCTGCTCTGGAGTCCGGTCCTTCGGTATTTTCTGGGGATACAAAGAAAGACTCCGTCTCCAGCGCGGAAGAATCGTCCCTCCAAAGGATTGGAGAGTTATTTAGGAGATACAAGGATGAACGGGAAGATGCCATACTGGAGGAAGGAATGGAGCGATTTTGCAATGACCTCTGTGTTGATCCCACTGAATTTAAAGTGCTAGTTCTGGCTTGGAAATTCCAGGCTGCTACTATGTGCAAATTTACAAGGTTAGTTCCTACAGAATTTTAATTATTTTCATATGTTATACTGTGTCCTATCATCTGTATCAGAGAGACAGCCTCATTAACTTCATGTAGGTATTTCTCCTAACAGTTGTGCTTCGGTGCAGTTCATTCCTGTGGCTGCAGAAGGTAAGCTTTGCGTTGTCCTCTCCTGCTCCCTCCCTGCTTCAGAACTGAAAATGTTTCTGGACATCACACTACTAATGATGAACAACATGGAGATGTTCTATAGACATTGGTTTGTTCTTGACTAACAAAACCAGTTTTTCTGTATCAGCACTGTCTTAAAGTTAAGCTTTGACAAAGCAAATAACTTTTGCTTAAAAATAATGTGAGAGTCCTTAGTAGTTGCTGTCAACTCTGTTGTTACTTTCTGTCAAAAAGTGTAAAGCAAGCTCGTTGCTAAGAACTGTTTGTGCCCGACTGATGTTACACAAAATGTCTTTCTCCAAGACTAGTCCTGTTAAAGCTTAGAGACGTGCTTCCGCAGTGACTGGTGTTGCAGGCTCTGCCTGTCCTGACAAGGCTGTCAGTTAGTGAGCCCATAGCATTTCCAGTGCTGCAGGAAATGACAGAATGGCTGAAACTCACCAGAAACCTACCCAGTCCACCACCAAAAATCCCCAAACCAAAACACCCTCCCCACACACTGAGTTCCCTACCAGTGTCCAGGTAAGAGCAAGCAAAGAGCTTTTATTGGAGTTTTTGATCAGTTGAGATTGATTTGTGTAATTGTAACTATTTTTACTCAGCTTATAACATTTAAAATTACTTTGGTTTTCTGAGCCTTCAGCCAAGCCTCTGCTGTGCACTGAACACTGACAGCTTCCCCTGCCTCTGCAGCAGCCGTGTGGGTGTGGGAGTGTGCTGAATGCAAACGTGGGGCTGAAGGAGAGCAGGGCTGTGCAGTATGGGAAAGGAGTTGTCGGTGTCTGATTTTGCACAACCAGTTTCACTGGACTGAATTCTGATTCTGCACAATCATTTTAATAATGATTTGATTTTCTGGGAGAGATGCAGATCCAGTGGTGAAAGATTACCTCTGCTCAGCAGTGTGTTCCATGATAGGGGCACAGGGGTGGCTTTGGCCGAAGAAGGGAAGGCAGTCTTCTGATCTCCTGCACTCTGCGCTCTTCTGTCTTCCCTCCACCCAATTCCACATCACAGTCTGTGGCGTGGTTGATACCAGCTGGTTGCTACACTGCAACACTTGCTCCTGATCATGAAACAAATCACAGTTAGCTACCTGTCCTCGTGGCAGGTCGTTGGTGTGCTTCCTGGAGCCCTGCTTTGAGCAGTGTCTGTGTGTTGCATTGTAGCCTGCGCCAGGTGGTGTGGGGCACTCTGCTCGTGCCCTTGCTGACCATCACAGCTGGCACCGCTCTGCCTTTCAGTCTGGAAGAGCAGCGACGCGTTGAAGGAAGGCCACCGCTCAATGGCTCCTCCTCGAGAGCAGCTTGTCCAGAGCATGGGCCCTCAGGCACAGGCAGTATCACATGGAGCTGCTCTGTATGTGGTGTCGTGGAGCAGCTGTGGTATTTTCCAGTGTGTTCAGCACTTCTCCTGTGGCTGATGTGGTTTGCTCTGTGTTGGTGAAAGGCTTGGGCTGTGGGAGTACCGTGTATTGGGAAGGCCGTACTGCAGAGCTTTTCGGGTGCTTGCAGTGCCCCAGCTGGGCTGGCGTGTGTGCTGTGGGGGGGTTCCCCAGCCAGGAGGAACCTGGGGCAGCGTCTTACCCAGAGCTCAGGGCTGGGGGCATCCACATGCTGCTGAGATCGCTCACTCTGACCTACTGAGGGAAGTGCTCGGTGCATGAGAAGTGTTCACACTAATTTTTCTTCTCTCGCTTAATAGGAAGGAGTTTTTTGAAGGCTGTAAAGCAATAAACGCAGACAGCATCGATGGCATTTGTGCACGGTTTCCCAGCCTCTTACACGAAGCCAAGCAGGAAGATAAATTCAAGGATCTCTACCGCTTCACCTTTCAGTTCGGCCTGGACTCTGAGGAAGGACAGAGGTCGCTGCATCGGGAAATAGCCATTGCCCTTTGGAAATTAGTCTTCACCCAAAACAAACCCCCCATTTTGGACCAGTGGTTGCACTTCCTAGTAGAGAACCCCTCAGGAATCAAGGGAATCTCCCGGGACACATGGAACATGTTTCTAAATTTTACTCAGGTGATCGGACCAGACCTTAGCAACTACAGCGAAGACGAGGCCTGGCCGAGTCTCTTTGATACCTTTGTGGAGTGGGAAATGGAGCGGAGGAAAAAGGAGGAAGAAACCAAATGTATTACATCTTCGGACACAGAGGGTCTGTGTGCAGAAGAACAGACTTAACAGCATTTAAGCGGCAGTGATGAAAGCAACCTGTTGCCCTTCATGAGATGTAAACTCTGGATGTTTCTGGAGGTTACCAAGGCTCCAGATTTCTTTTCTACTTTACACCTTTTTCTGCCTTGTATTCGAAAGGGCTCTAAAATGCTGTATCATGTTTTAGGCACTTTCTTAACTTTGGTTATTCCTTTTACTCTTACCCTGAAATATTTGACCCCAGCTACAAGTTAAGCATTTTTGTTAAGACTTCAGATTAGTATAAGTAAGTCTGATATTTCTTGCACAATGTAGATCTTTTTAGTTAGGTTAAATTAACATTGCTAAATTATACAGTGCCAGATTAAGTTTTTCATACTATGTCTGTCAGGGCAGGTCTGTACTGTGCGTAGTGCTGTTTACATTGTTGAAAATTTAGGCTATAATAATTTTAAGGTTTTATACCAAGAATATAGCAGTGTTAACTTGAAATGCATTAATCCCCTCCTAATAAGGCCCTTAAAAAACAATGACAACAAATCCAACAACATAAGCAACAGCTTTTTGTAATGCGGCTCATTGCCACTTGAAGCTAACTCCTTGCGACCGAGTCAAATCATTCCTTTTTATTTTCAGTTTCAAACTAAATGTTGGGACTGTTTTTATAAAGTTACTGTACCTGTCAGTCAACTGAGTGGTAGATGAGGATTTGTATCGAAATCTCTGACACAACACGTAATAAAAGAGCAGTGCTACCTCAGTTTTATTGAAAGTGGACTTCTTGGTGGACTTCCATTTTCTTTGGAAGTTTATTTTTGTGGTTACAGGAGAATATTTTTACTTGACTAAAAGAACCAAAGGTTCTGCTTCTTAAGTTTCTTAAATATTGACAGAAGCAACACACAAAGCCTGTCTTCAAGGAAAACTGCGGTATAATTCTGCTTTAATTTGTTTGATTTATACCTGAAGCATTATCTTACTTGTCTGGCAAGCACAGTACTTCTATGTGAGGAACCAGTTTTTTTAAAGCTATGCTTAATTGCTAAATTGCAGTTAATACTCCACACTTTCTGGAGCAACAATATCGGCATCTGATGACAAAGTGAATTCGTAATGTGTTCTTAATGACAACAGTGTAGACGAGTCATTTTTAGACTGATTTGATAATATTTGGAAAGGAGTAAATTTAATATTTTACAATGCCTGTATTGGGACTGTTTGCCTGTTGAAATTGTTGTGACTTAAAGGGAATTTTATTAACACTGGTTGAAGCTTTTTTTGGTTATTGATGTTAACTTTTTTAATTGTATTACGCCAACTTTTTTACACGTTTTGGTAAAAAGGGATAATTGCCAAGGCTTCCCATGAAGCCCAGTGTCAAACTCATGAAGCCAATACATGTACATCACACACCTTTTATTTTCAGAGCTGTACTTCAGGATCGTAAAATGGCTTCAGTGAAAAATCGAAAGCAACAAAAACCCTCAAAACTGAACGGTCATCTCTAGCATCTCACAGGTTTTGTGACAGTGTGTAGAAGCCGAACTTTCGGGGGTGAGCTTGTTATTGGGTCTGAGGTGCTGTGCAGTGCATGTCTGCTGCTGAGCTAGTGGAGCGTTTGCCTGACTTCTGTGCTGGGCTCTGCTGATGCACAGCCTGCATGGCAGCTTGGGGCAGAGTTCATACATCACTTACAATCCCTGGCTGTCTAAAACTGCTTAAAAACAAGCCCACGATGACTGATGGCATCTCCTCCTGTAACAGGAGGGTTTGGTCTGTGCTGCTTTGGCAAGCTCCTCTTGGGAGAGTGAAGCAGTGGGGAACAAATAGAGGCGTAGCTAAGCCTGTCCCTGGGCAGGAGGGGCCCTGCTCAGGGCGTTACAGGCAAATCTGCCCCAAGGATGCCCTGCTGCTCTCATCCTCCATGCTGCCCTAACAGCACTGGCACATTTTGGCAGCAAAACTGTATTTTTGTTTGGTGAGCAAAGCAGGCATTTATGCTGTTAGAGTGGAATCGTTGAGACTTCTGCTGGTGCTCTTCTTTAAGCAAGAGAAAAGAGCTCTCCAGCAGAGGCCGCTTTGCTGGAGAAAGCCCCAGATGGAGGCCTGAGCTCATAGCAGATGAAGGCTATATGAAGTTTGGGACACTCGTTCAGCTGCTCAGTGCTCTCTTCATCGCTTCATTTGTTCCTAAAGGTAGTTCTAAAGTGTTCGGTGCATAAAAGCTGTGTTCACCCAGTGCAGGGTGCAACTCTGCACATACAGAGCTGGAGCAGTGACTGCTGCTTGTCTGCACAGTGAACTGCAGCAGCTCGAAAAGGGGGGGATTAGAGAGCTTTGTGGAACACATTTATCTGGTGGTGCGGAACATGGATTGCAGTAAGAAAATAAATTTGTAGTACATCAAGGCTTAGCCATTTCAGTGCATCAGACACAAGACAGCTTCTTTCTTTAGACAGCAGCAGTGAGCATGCTGGAAGGAACAATATTTTCTCTGGGAGGCAGGCATGCAGCTGTCAGTGAATTCTGTCCTGTGCTTTCAGCGCACAAGGAAAACTGCCCACAGGTGGGCTTGGCAGAGTGCTGTTGGTTTCAGTCTGGCCTTGGTGCTTACGGGGCAGTTACAGGATGCAAGCCAGACCTGTGTCTGCTGTAAACTCCTGGCAGCAGGAGCTGTGGTTATGGGGCAGCTCTTCTATAGCAGTGCTGGTACTTGGTGCTCCTACCCCCAGCAGCACTGCCTTTCTGTGCCACTAGAGTGCTGCTTCAGATGCACTTCTGCAAAGTCTGCAGCAATATTGGGGCCTCTGAAAATGTGCTTGCCTAGTGGTTAAACTGTGAGTGCTTGTGGAAGAGGTGCAATGCTTTCCATTCTCCATATAATCTGTCTTCAATGGCCACAGGACTGGATCGAGCAGTGATGCAGATCAAGTGGTCAAAACCATTGGATCTGTTTAGTTTTTTTTCTTAGAGTATGCATTCGAAATCTTAATGCATGAAGTGAATCTGCTTGGGATAACTACAGATAACTATACAGATCATTGTAGGAATTTACTGGGAATGTGATCTGTGGCATTTTATTGCCTTTGCTTATACACAAAGAAGTGTAACTTGTGCACTGGGCACTGTGCAGTGTTACTGCAGTGCCTTGGCAGCTTGGCTCAGTGGTGCCAGCTTCTCCTGCGGGTGTGATTTTGGGTCAAAGACTGTCAGTGGATTGATTCAAGTGCAGATTTGAAAGATTTCACCCAGAGTTGGCCATCAAACTTGATGAGTAACTTAATGGAAACTGAATGTGGAGCTGTGTGTTTATTTGCTGCTGGTGCTATTCTGTGTGGAGAATTACAGCCTTGTATTACTGTGCAGTGGTACGGAGAGAACCCGAGGGAAAAGAGATGAGTGTGGCAGGTGGCATGGGACCTGCTGGGGTACGGGCTGCTGCAGGCTATGGGTTTGTCCCAACTGTTGCTGTGGCCATCAGAGCCCTGAGGCCCCCTGAGGTCCTGTCTCACCTTCTGCTTCTGTGCACCCGCTGCTGACATGAGCATCTTCCTTATGGTTCTAAGCCTTGTTTCCAAAAAATAACCCCAAACAAACAAGCAGAATTAAACACCATGTGGTTACCGTCTGCCTCGGATCTGACTCAGTGTGCTGGCTGAGGCTGTGCCGTTCCTACTCACTGTAGGAGAACAGGCACTGTGGACGTCTGGGTCTTGCAGCCCTGTGTTCTGCGACGTGGCCCTTGTGGCAGGAATCAGTTGGGCGCCTGATTCTTTGAGCTCCCTCTGCTTGAAACGTGTGCGTGTGAACTTCCCCTTTCATACTGAAAAGGAAGATGCTTAGCCTGAAACTGAAAACTCTTCAGTGTTTAATATACAGCAAAACAAACTTTGAAGGCTTTTGTTTTTTTTTTCAAACAAGTAGTAAAAGATAAGTGTGCTTATTTCTGTTGTGTGTAGAGACACTGGTGTTAATTTTTTTTCTCTGGATTATCAAAGATTGTATCTTTGGTTTATATCTTCAGTTAAAGTGAAATACATGAGATTGTAAGAAGGAAGGCCATAATTCCTTCACCATGAAGTACATAGGTATCTCTACCTCTTGTCAGACTTGAGTAGTTCAAGTTGATCATCCTCTCCCAGGCTATGATGCCTGGATAAGTAATGTACACTTTTTAATTGACCCATGTTAAGTGTTACCTATTTACCATACTTCTTGGTATCCTGCTTTTGGTCTGCATGCAGTCGACCCTTTGGAATGGAGCAAAGCCAAGCTGGTAAGGGACATGTGAGTCCTGCAGGGAGTGAGTTCCAGAGCGCAGCGGTGAGTGGAGCTGCTCCCGACTAGCTCAGGGCCTTTCAGCATCGCACCTTGTCTTTCCACTTCAGGCCACAATGAATGGGAGATGGAGCAGCTGCTCTCCAAGAAGGGACCGTCTGGCCCTTTCATTTGCTCTTGAAAAGCATCAGGAACCCACCTGATGCAGTGCTATGAGTGTATTTCTTACACGTTCCGTACTTTGTTCCATCTTGAGCTGTGCAACAAAAAGTGAAGGCTGCGAAAGGGCTGCACAGCTGCTGCTTCCTACCTGCGCTCAGTGTCTGCTCAGGATGAATGCCTTATGCTTAAAGCAGAGCTGAGAGTGCTCAAGCACGCTGGAGATGCTGGGAGGTTCTCCTTTTCTGTTCTTCGAAAGCTTCTATCTTTGCATAATTGCATCCTGAAGATAAAATCTCTTTCTAGATGACATGCATTCTACACAAAGAAAAAACACATTTGTCTGCAATGCTCTTGCTTCTTGCTTGCAGATTCTCCTTGGGCTGTGGGTTGGCTGCGGCTGGGGCAGCACGCTTGAATGTTGCCGATGGAGCTGTCCCTGTGCCTTGGGAGTGGCTCTTTAGTCAAGTTTAGTTATCTTAAAAATATGCATTCTTTCTTATCAGTAAGTTGAAATGGGCCCTCAGAAAGGAAGTGGGCCACCGGGAGTGGTGGGAAGGCCTCATGCTGTGAGTTGTCCCATTGTCTGGAGTTGCAAGAGAGATGGATGGACTGCAGGATGAGGTTCTCACCCTGCACTGCTGGGCTCCATCCCACACATCCACAGGGGCACAAAGTGAGCCCGCGTTGCTGCAGCTGTATGGAGGGGGAGGGAGCACTGACAGCCAGCCTGGAGATCTGCAGCTTGCAGCACAGACACTTGTTGTAGAGCTCAGCCCTGGCGTGGCCACATCGCCCTGTATGGAAGGAATGTGTTTTGGTAGTGTATACTCCCAGAGAAGTGAATAATTGTAAGAAAACAGTGGAAGCATCACACCTTTGTGCAGCTTTCACTGAACTGTATGTGAACACTGCTAGCTACCAGTCTCCTCAGTAAGCCCTCAGGGGCACTTGGGATCAAATCTACCATTCTCTGTATCAGGAGTAATCCTTGCTTTTTGGACTTACCAGCAGACACCACGTGTTTTCTCCAGTTTTCTCGCTGCAGGAAATGATGAATGTATTGTCGTGGAGCAGAACCACACTTCCTCCTCCAGCTGGCACCATCACGAGTGCTGCGGAGCTGTAATGCTTGAAAAGGCTACAGTAAATTCCGTTTCATGCTGGATGTCTTTTCGAGGATGTGGCCAAGTGTGAAGCCATGATCTGGAGAAAAAGTGGGAAAAGTTTGAGGTGATGTTTCTATACTGAGTCTTATCTGCTTGGTTGCTTTACAAATACTTCTCTTGTGTTGTCTTGCTCACCGTTATTGTCTGGAACAGAATGGAAACAGCGTCCCACAGAATGTGCAGTCTGAGGCACAGTGCACGTAGGTTGTGATGAGAAGGTTGTTACTTGATAGCAACCCTGAGTGCAATGCTCAGTCCCTTTTGGAAGAAAAGCATTAAGGTTTCTCTTTACTTATAAGCAAAGCATCAGTCTGTCCATTACTGACATCTTGTGGAGTTTGTGCCAGATGTATATTAAATATTTTGGTGCTTTTTCTAATCCAAGTTGCCGTTCATTCACCTGTGAAATTGTTTACTTCTGTATATTGAAGCGTCGACACACCCGCTAAGAAAAACAGAAAAAAAGCCCTGAAACCCCATCACCGCCAAAAAAGTATTGCCTGTAGTCACTCTGTATCCTGAGTACTGTAGCTTTGCAAATGTTCAGAGCTGACGGGTCTCTGTCTGTAAGGTCTGAGGGAGGGGACGGCCAGAGAAACCCAGTCCCTGGGAGAGGGAACTGCCACGTTGCTCTGTGCGTTATGAACAAATGAGTCATTTGTCGTGTTTATATAATGACACTTTGGTGTTCACTTTTTTGTGAATCTTTGTACAAAATGTTTTATTTAAACCTGCAGTCCTTTTTACGTTTTCAATTAAAAGGGGAAAAATTAATTATTTTTTCATGACTATAACTAGGACTCTCGCTACTTTTATTTGTTATCCACTTCCCAAGCAGGAATCCTTACTGCTTACTAAACCCGTGCAGGGAGGTGCCTACCCTATTCTTAAGTGCATTGGGATTAAAATGGCCTGGTTTACTTGCTGAGATTTGCAGTGCGCGAGGTATGTGCAAGGTGCTGGATGTGGGCAGCCTCACAGAAGAGGGGCTGTGTGCAGGGACGAGCATGGCAGCGCGGGCAATCGCCGTTCCCCGCAGCAGCACTGCGTGGACGGTCAGACTGCCGTCCGGTTTTGTAGCAGCAGTGACAGAGGGCTCAGTGGTTATCCCAGTTTGAAGAGGGCCGCCGAGCTCACCGGGCGTGGATACAGGACCTTTCTAAAACAGAAGAAATTAATGGCTGCATTCATCTCGCTTAATAAGATTTGAGGAATTTTGGAGGCTTTAAGCTATAGGTATGAAAAAGCCTGAAGTGAGCACCATTGTGCACGCTGCCTGGCACTGCCATGGGCTGAGCTGCAGTGCTCTTTCCCTGCCATCGCTCTTTGCTGCAGTTCCTGCTCCGTCAGCTCAGCCTGGGAGGTGGGCATGGGGATCTGGGCAGGGATGCAGGAGGAGGTGACGTCTCCTGCCGACTGCATTTCATCATTTCCGGGACAGTAACTATTTCAAAGTTATCTCAGCATATTTCAATTCATACTTTCAAACTTGGAAACAAACATTTCCCTTTTTTTTTTTTTTTTTTTTTTTTCTCCCCCAGTGCCCAAAGATTTTTCTGGGCGTTGTTGTAGTTCAGTCTGTTGATAAGAGGTGGTGAAGCAACCTTTGGTTCCAGGTGTGCAGAGCTCAGAGCTGATGCCAGGCTGTACCTCATCTCACACTACTGCTGGTCAGGGCTGGCTGCTGCAGCAACTCTGCACTTACAGCTCCCCACCAAAAACACGGTGAGTAGTTTCTGCAGCTGCGTGCTGAGATGGCCCAAACAAACAGCTCTTGCCCTTCCCACTGCAGCCAAGTTGCAATCTTTTGTTTCCTAAGGGGTGTGGGAGAAAAGAGATTGTCCAAGAGGTATGAATCACCAATTCCTCCTTTCCATGAAGTAGTGCTTTTCCAGAAAGGAGGCCGTGACTGTTTTGGAAGCTGGCACAGCTGGAACAGGGAGCGTGGAGCTGCTGAGCAGCTGCTGCAGGTACGGCACAGTGCTGCAGTGAAGGCAGCCCTGCAGTTCAGCAGTACCCCACGTGGAAACAACTCACTGAATTCCATCACAGTGATGGGGTTTTACAGGACCTCCCTGCACTGCCCTCTGCTCTTCCAAAGCATTTGCTGAATTCAGTGCCAGGGAAAAATGCCACAGCCAGAAGCACTAACGGAAAAGGCTTCGTGCTTTCAAGATGTTTTGAATAGCTTTTATTTTTAGAATTTATAGAAGATACAGTGTGAAAGCCCATTGTTCCTACAGCAAGGGCTCTTTACAAAGACATCAATGTTTAAAATAACTATGAAGATCTTTACAAAAGACTGATTAAAAATTTGGCAGCTTAACAAGCACTGCTCCCTCCGTCATCTTTTATTCCCATCAGACCAAGGCCGGACTGTGATCCATGAACGCTGCAACATAAACAAGAGATGTTATTTCTGCTCAGGGCAGCCTTGATGCATACAAGCTAGCTGCTCTAGCAGGGAGAAGCCTGCAACCCCCCAGTTAAGCAGATTGGAAAACTGCATGTATTATTTTCCATCCAACAATTTTTGTTATTCTTTTTGAACAAGAAGTTTATCAGTCCCCTGGGAAACAGTAATTTGTGAACCTCACTTGGCATGAAAACTCTCCCAGGCTTGGGATGGCACTCCCTTCTTCCCAACAGTCCTGAACATGGCAGCTACATGTAGGCAGGATTTGATAACAAGCTTGTGTGAGAATCCGTATGTGCAATCAGCACCGCTCTAATGAGGTAGAAACTGCTGCTGTCTCACTTTGCCTGCTATTATTCTTTGAAGTGATGGGCAACCAGCTAAATGATCTTTTCTTAAAAACTAAGTGTTTTGGAACAAACTTGCTAAGCAGCTACTAGAAACTGGACAATTACAGCAGATCATGCCAAGAGCAGCATGTGTGCATACTGAAATGGTTTGTCATGGGCACTGAGCACAAACAGACTCTTGGCTCAGGATGCTTCACTCTTCCAGGAGCAGTGGTCCACAAGGTAACACAGCATCACGCTGCCACTCCTCAGGAAGCTCTGCAGGTAAGAATGGCGTGGCTGGCTGCCCACGGCGAGAGAGGTGCTGCCCTGTCCCCCTGCTTCTCTGTCAGTGCAGCTTTTGTTAAAGGGAACTACAGACAAGCAGGGGCAGATGTGCGACCGAGCGGAGACACAGCCAGTCACTGTGGCCTTGCTTGGGAAAGATTTACACTTTCTAGTCCAGCTACCACGAGACACCTGTTAGATTGTGGCTGGGCTGTACTGCTTTGTTAGGTGGTTCGAAAACAATCAAACACACAAAAACCCAACAACCAAAAAACCTGGCTGCTGCAGAACCTCTGCCCGATTCAGTTTGACACACAGAAAGCTTGCTTGTGTGTCAAGACAATTGCAAAACTGTATCAGCTTCGAAACAGCGACAAAATGTCCACTAGGGGTTTCATCCAACCAGAAAACCCGTGCAATTAATCAACGCTCTGGATTTCACCCCTGCTAATCTGGAGCATGGCTTATGAGAAGAATTTACTGATCAGTTTTATTAGCCTCATATGAAAGTCAGACAATACAACAGCTTCTTGGGCCTTTTATCACGCTTTTGTTTCCTTTTTAATGAAGATGAAAATAAAAGCATGAGGCAGTAAGTTACCTGTTCATTCCAGGAAAGAGAACAATGCACAAGGTGTTATCCTGCAGACTTCTATAAAGCTTTTTTATATGGTGGTCTAACTTCTTCACCTTTTTCTTTACATCTTGCTCCTGCACAACAGAATACAAGTATTACAATGACCCATTCTTCTGCAGGTATGTAATGATCACATTTAGAAATGTTTTATGAGGAGACTGAGCTGGGGCAGCGTCAGGGACTGAACAGGTAAGGAAACAGTGATTGTTACAGCTGGCATTTGGAAGTGCACCAGCTCAGCTGCAAGGAGAGCTGCATGCTCTACTCAGATGGCACTACAGCTTCCTCCAGTAAAAGGGACAGCTACAAGCAGACCAGACCTGTTCTTGCCTGCAACACTACGACACGATCCACTTCTCTCTCTGACTTCTGTTCCATTTCCTAAACCTGTGCACTGCTTAGTTAGCTCTCAGCTGGTAGGCTTCAGCCGCCGTGTAACATCACTCACTGCCCTGTGCATGGACACATGGCATCCTGGCTCCCAGGGCAGTACGTGGTTCAGTGTTATTCACCTTCACACTGATGAACAGTAACAAGCCAGCATAGCCTTAAACTCACAGAGTCAGACAGTGGTGCCATCTTCTCACTTAAACTGTTTCCTCTTTGCTTTTCACTGCTGTGATTCATTTGCCAAATCCATCTCCAGAGGTGACCTGAAGCAAGAGCGTGCCTACTTCTGAGCGTGCTGCCCCTCACAGCCCAGCCATTTATAGCTGCCAGGGCATCTGCCGCACTTTGCGATTTCTGGAATTCTGAAAAACAAAGAGAAAGGGATTGTGATTTAACACTTCTTGTTCCCTGTTCTTTGGCACCTGCAGGGCAAGGCTAAAGGTGGAGCAGGAGGAAGAAGAGAAACTAAACCACTCCAGTGAGCAGCTCCTATCTTGCTTCAGGCAAGTGTCAGACTACTGAAGCGTCAGATAAATACAACAACACTCATCCAGTTGTTCTCCTGACTTCCTAGAAGTGATCACTAGTCAGTGTGAAGTGCAGAGCAGCCAGCCATGCTTTCATTGGACTATTTTAAATAGTGGCACTTGGAGCACACGTGAGTTTCCATCATATTTCCAAGGGCTGCTGAACAAGCTTGCATGAAGGAAATAAGCAGACTGCACTGCAAAGCTACTTACTGAGAAAACAGCAGGTGCTGTGCTTTCCACTCTGGAGATCCTTTGGCAGGAAAAGAGTTTCCAGGTCTTTCAACAGACCAAATTCTTCTTGCAAATCTGTCTCTGTTAATGACTTCTTTATTCCTGCCACATAAATCACACCTTCGTTTTCTATATCCAGTTCCAGTTCCCTTATCAGAACATCACAGTCCAGTGTAGCAGCAGTGATGGGTCTCTGAACCTGAAGTGAGTCCAAGAGGAACAAATGCAACACATCAGCCAAGGCAACTCTGTCTTCTAAGCTACTGTTTTAAACAATTTTGTTTCACTATCAAAACTCTCTTAGCTATTTCCCTTTCCTTGAAAAATGTAACTAGTGAAGGATAGCTTAATGAGTCATGAAAAAGGAAAAGATCATGTTTGCAGTGCAAGAACATTAGACAAATAAGAACCCATTCTGCTTATTCAGCATTTCAACACCCAGCAACTCACTCTCCATTTTAAAGATGGAGTTGCCAACTCAGGGTGCTTCCTAACACCTTTCTGCTGTCCAACAGAAAGGAAACGAGACCAAAGCGTAAGTTGTCTTGGGAGCTGGTG